CAATGTAGGAACCTTACTAGAAATGAAGGTGACAGGAGAAACTGAGTGGAGAAGAAACGGGGTGTAAGATGTGAACTTCATTTTGGAGATACTCATCTTCTGCCTCTAGAAAGATGGCTCCAGGAGGGAGAAAAGAAAAACTGGGGCTTAGCAGTGAGGTTAGAATGGAACACCAGTTTAGGAGACATTCACATGGAAATAATTGTTGAAATAAGGGGATCTGGTGAAATTTTTAGTGGAGACTCTACACAGAGAAAAGAGGTGGGCTTAGTATAGAACAAAACATGGAAACTGTGCACATTTAGGGGATGGCAGAGAAAGGAGGCCTGGAGGAGAAGAACAAGGTGGGGCAGTGTGAAGGTCAGTGTCAGTCAGGACCGAGCTTGGGGACAGACCCAGCTACAGAGATGGCAGGGAGGACAGGGACGGCAGAGCAGAAGATTCCCAATATTCTGCAGTTGTAAAAGAGCAGAGTTAGAGGAGTTGTTGCTACCCCAGGCATAGCTGCTGCTGAGAGGTGTGAACCAGATGTCTTGGGATGATATGGGGAGGTCTCATGCTGGAAAATGGTGAAAGAAATGCATGTTGTCAGTCTTGGGAGAAATTGGAGTCTCATGGCTTTAAGAACCTGGGCTCTAGAATCAGATATATGTTGCCAAACCTGTTCTGCTATGTTTGTGACCTTGGGCAATTTACTTAAGGAAACTGATATTTAGTTTCCACATTGGCAATGTGGTCATAAAATATGAACTGGCATTGATCATGACAATGTGTGAAAGAGCCTATTCCAATATCAAGGGCATAGTAGATGCTCAATGTTAGCTATTAGGAATAGCAGCAGCAATAGCATTGCATGGCTGGGAAGGTAAGAACTCAGGCTTGGAGGTTGTACCAGTCAGGTTAGACAATGATATGCTGCAGTAACAAACAACCCTAAACCTCAGGGCCTTACAATAACAAAGGTCTATTTTTCATCCAAGTGGCATGCCATCATGTGTTGGTGGTGGCTCTACCATGTCATTTTCACTTTGAGACCCAAGCAGAGGAAAAAGCGCACATGGCAAAGAGCTCACATTTCACTGGCCACTCTCACACAGCAGGGCCCAAGTTCAATAGAGCAGAGAAGTATAATCTTCTCCCAGGTAGGGACACTTAATGTTGGTAAACAGTAATTCAGTTGACTGCAGTGGAGCAGGTCAGTGGAACTATGGCATAAACGAGGAGGTTGGCCATCTGTGTAAATCAGTAATTCAGTTTCAAAGCCTGGCACATAGAATCAAAGCAGGGTGAGGAGGGTTTTTCCTGAGCCTGGGATGGGTTAAGCACAGCATGGGACAGGCATGGGGAGATGTGGACAGTTCTCTTCAGGAATAAAGAAAACCATAATGAAGAAACCAATAATACCAAAACAGGAAGAGAGAGTTGCTAAAAGTTACACAATAACCTGACCTAAACCATGGCAGGCCCAACAATGTGTACACATTCACAGACAGGTGAGCACTGTGTTCCCCCGCAGGCCAGGTTCCAGGTGGAAGAGAACCATGGAAAGAAGTGAGGCTCAGACACCTGCTTCTGTTCTCAGACTCATCCTTGTGTCCTCAGGGAAGTTCCATTCTTTGCTGGCCTGCCTCAAGTCAATACGTTCACATTTTCTACCATAGAGTAATGAGTGAAAAAGAAAGAAATGGAATGAGTGAGACAACATCAACATAAAACACAGGCACACAAAACATACAAAACATGCCTGGCCTTCAGGTGCCCCTGAAAACAAAGTGCACTTATTTTTTTATAAAGATTTTATTATTTCCTGATTCGAAGGGGCACATGCACCCTGATATTTATAGCAGCATTATCAAAAATAACAAAATTATAAAGAGTCCAAATGTCCATTGACTGATGAATGGATAAAGAAGATGTGGTATATATATATGTGTATATATATATATATATGTATGTATATATATGTATATATATATACACACACACATATACACACACATATACATATGTACAATGGAGTACTACTCAGTGATCATAAAGAATGAAATCTTGTCATTTGCAATGATGTGGGTGGAGCTAGAGTGTGTTATGCTAAGCAAAATAAGTCAGTCAGAGAAAGACAAATACCACATGATTTCACTCATATGTGGAATTTAAGAAACAAAACAGATGAACGTAGGGGAAGGGAAAAAAGAGAAGGAAGTGAACTATAATAGAATCTTAATTATAGAGAACAAACTGAGGGTTGATGGAGGGGAGGTGGGTGGGGAATGGGCTAAATGGGGGATGGGCATTAAGGAAGAAATTCTACTCCTGAACCAATATTAACATTAACATGTTAGTTAACTAACTAGAATTTTTTTTTAATTTGAAAAAAAAAACATTATTTTTAAGTAATCTCTACACCCAACATGGGGCTTGTCACATGTGCCACTGCCTGAACAAGGCAGGTGCTCCACAAAGTGCACACATTTTAAATAGAATGGTCATATAAAGAAGAAGCAAAGGATAGCAGTAGAAAAATGATAAAAGAGAATTAATAAAATAAACAAGAGTGGCACCTGACTCAGGCCAGTGGTGACAATGCTCCATGAGCTGAGGAGTAGAATTAACTCAACCCTTTGCACCCGAACTCTAAAAATGAATGTATGGATGAATGTATGGATGAATGAATGAATGAATGAATGAATATCTTTGTCTCCTACTCATGTCTTCCAAAGTATTTTGTTTCACCAAAAAGATCTTGTTAGAGCTTCAAAAACTTGTTGGGCTACTTTTTGCTTTATTTTGTGACTAGGCTGTGCATAGCTCTCATCCATAGTGTGTGCTTAGATGTTCTCAGGCATTCTCTGTGGGGACTGGACAGAATCTGGAGCAAGGACCCCCTCTAGGTATAGTTCTGGGCCCATCTGACAGTCACTGAGCTCTCCAGTATAACTTCCTGTGATGATGGAAATGTTCTCCAATCTGTGCTGTTCAATATGGTGACTACTGAAAACTTGAAATGTGGTGAGTGTGATTTAGGAACTGAATTTTAAATTTTATTTAAATTTAAATGCAAATAGCCATGTGGCTGCCATTTGGATCAGCAGAGGCTAGATTCTAGGTCCCAGAGTGGATGTGCCATGCAGTACCTACCTTTGGGATGGGGCTGGAACCCTACAGTCTGGTCTGGCTGTTGTTATGTTACACAGCCCACAGCAAGTCCTGGATCCTTCTTAGGAATAGAAGATATTTAATTATGTGGCATGGGCTCACTGCAGGGAGGTAGTAGAGTGTAGGGCATCCTTTTTAACCAAGTTCTACAAGAGAATTAAGCCCTACAGAGCATAAGGGGAGTGCCTACTCCTTCAGTGTTCTCAAGAATAACACTTATCTAGGACCATTCTAGATGCATGGGGAGAAGGGAATTATTTATGTTCAATGGATGTCCCAGGACCTTAGGGCTTACTTTTCTTCTGGAAGTGGGATTTAAAAAAACTCGTCTAAAGTGGGGCTCTAAAGGTAAAAATAGTGCAGTAGACATTCCTTTCAAGGACATTTTTCTTGGACCTACAAAAATTCACAAGTATCATAATGCAGTGAGCCTATGGTATGTCCAAGGTCTTGCCTGATGATTCTCTGGTATATAAGCAACAGCCTTGGTTTTGTCATCGAAGGGAGAAGTTCTAGGCAACTTCCAAGCTGTGACCCAACCGCGTTTTCTTCTCCATCATCATCACCATCACCCCTCTCCACCACTGCCTCCAAAACACCAAAAAGGATCCGACTTCCTGGCCAATTGCGCAAGGCACCACATATGTGGATAAGAACAAACATAACCTTTTAAGAGCTTACAAGTACAGACAGATACACAGAATGTATATCATGCTTGGCACATAAAACCCATTCCCAAGAACTTAGGTATAAATCAACTCGCATCTTTAATACAAGAAATAGCTTACATTTCTAATAGAATACAGAAAAGCATAAGAAAGAAGTGTATATATATATATATACAGTGTGTATATATTTATACATGTATATATATATACACACACATATATACACATAAACGCACATAATATATGTATTTATATATACATGAGATTAAAACAACATAGATATAGAAACTCATTAAGGTACAAATGGAAAGTGAAAGTGTCTTTTCCTTCTTCAAATCTCTCTTCAAAAAGGTAACTTGCATGAACTTTTCTTGATTCCTTCCATAAGTTACAAAACCACCTCTATATAGAACTGTTCATGTCAATGCATACACACTCGTGCACATGCATAATTCAGAGAGGGATCAGAATATACTGACATAAAGATTGGTTTTTTTCACAAAACATGCATGGAGATTTTTACTCTCAGAACGTGCAGGCATACCACCTTCTTTGTCCTGGCTGCATAGTATTCCATTGTGTGGACTTGTGGGTTGAATTATGTTCCACCTCAAAAATATGTTGGAGTCCTAACCCCTAACACTTATTGTGATCTTATTTGGAGACAAGGTCTTTATAGAGATAATGAAGTGAAAATGAGGTCATTGGGTTAAAAAAATGAATATTGTCCTGGTAAAAGGGAGAAATTTGAACACAGAGACAGACACATATGGAGGAAGGATGTTAGGAAGAGGTACAGGGAGAAGACAACCATTTACAAACCAAGAACAGAGGTCTGGAAGAGTTCTTTCCCTCATGGCTCTAGGAAAGAACCTGGCAATACCTTCATCTTGAACTTCTAGCCTCCAAAACTGTGAGACAATAAATTTCTATTATTTAAGAATACCTAGTCTATGGTATTTTGATGTTTTTTTAATTTTAATTTTTTTATTTTTGAGAGACAGAGACAGAGTGAGAGAAGGGGAGGTGCAGAGACAGAGGGAGACACAGAATCCGAAGCAGGCTCTAGACTCTGAATGATCAGCACAGAGCCCGATGCAGGGCTCAAACTCATGAACCGTGAGATCATGACCTGAGCTGAAGTCAGATGCTTAACTGACTGAGCCACCCAGGGGCCCCAATATATTAAACTTTCTTAAAGGAGCCCACCGGTAAAGAAGATGCTGATCTAGGTAGACCGAGTGCAGTTACAGAGATCTCATACCTCACAGTGAGGTCATGAATGAAAGAGAGTCACGTGACATTCTTAGGACTCTTTTGGTTGCAAGTGACAGAAGTCCCACTTGAACTAGCCTAATAGCAAAGGAAATTAATTTTGAAGGTATTCTGGTGTGTTTCAGGATTTAAGGATAGCTGGGTTTCAGAAAAAAATTGAGACCAGGGACCCAGATACCAACAGAGTCCTCTCCTTCTGACTTGCATCCTCCTCCTCTCCACAAATTTTATCAGTTCTCCCTGTCTTCTTGAGATGAGTTTCCCTGTTTATGTGGCTCACAAGACAGAAAGCCTGGCTTTGAAAGGTCTCTGATGGGCTCATCCTAGGTCAGGTCAGGTTGTCAGGCCAGGACCTAGCATCTCCCAAGGGCACAGTCACCATGTACTAATCTAACTGCAACCTCGGGAATCATTTGGATGTAGGGAGTAGCTTGGTGGGTGGGGGACTGTTGCTGTTAGAAGGATGTTCCCAGAAGACAGCTGCCTGGGGTCTCCTAATTGTTTTGATGGAAGATTCCTGGAAGAGATGGAATTTCGCTGATGTCACCATTTGTAGAAAACCCAAGGCTTTGTAATGCCCACCACAAGGACCCCAGGCTCTGGGCCACAGAGAAGACCCCCTACCCAAGCAGAGGTGCTTTTGACAGTTTGGAGCCCACCAAGCGCACCCCTCCCTGGATCTCTACAACTGTGCAATCCTTCTAGGCAGAAGCAGAGAGCAGCATAAATGATTATCAAAACAAGGCCGGGCTCTGCCTGCAGGAAAATCCGGGCTGTGGCAGCAGCTCAGTGCCCGCCAAGCGAAATACCAGTTAGGAGATATCACTGGCATGCAACTTAAAGAATAACTTGACTAGCACTTGAGGTTATTTAGAAAAATACCTTCGGTCACGTGCTTTGCAGAATGCTATGTACTTGAAATGAATCATCCGTACCCAGCCCAGAGCAGATTTAATTACAATCCCCTCCCGTGTTGCTTCTTTTAAAACTTGACCTTCTTTTCTGGTTGCTATTCAAATTCAGCAAAATATCAACTTGATTCTTTTTTTTTTTTTTTTTTTTTTTTGAAGCCGAGGAGGAATCTTTCTATAGCTGAACAGTTCCAGATAGGAAAAAGGGACCAAGCTCACAGGCAGGAGCCTTGCAATATAGTGATGACAGCAGATTACCTTTCATTACCAAGAAAATGTCATTTACCTGTGAAGGCCATAAAATAATTTGTCTTAATGACTATACACAGCTTGTAAGCAAAAACCAACATCAAGATGACACAAACAGATGGTTTCTGAGTGACTTGACAAGATTATGCCAGCTGAACACACTAGACCTCTGTATTTCTAAAGGGGTGTGTGTCACTATTCATACTCAACCCTGGGTTTCTGTGGATGTGATTAACCCACGGGCGGTGCATGTGATTTAATAGAGTGGCCTTTATCATGAGGCCAGTAGACAGGAAAGAGCAAGGATAAAAGGCCCTGAAGAAAGAACTCAGGCAGGTTCATAAACCCTTCAGAGCCTCAGTTTCCTCCTCTGTAAAGAAGCTTCGATAATTCTCCTATCACAAGGTTTTGTGCAATGCAGGGAAAACAGATATAAAGTGACTGGCACATGATGGAAGGCTTAGTGGCACTGGCTATTACTGTTCTTTTTCAGCCCATTTTTCAGTGTCTGGTAGTCACACCATTTGCACCTCTGAATGTTAAGCAAACATTGCCCGGCTCAATACAAAGTTGGACATTTTCTCGTTTTCGTTGTGTTCCAAATTAGTCATTAGATCTGATGAGAGGCTGACCCCAGAGGACCACACTGGTAGATGTCAGTTGGTGACTGATCAAAACCTATTGTCCTCAGGGTTAGGTAAGTCAGAGGGTATGGCTGGCCTGACCTTCACAATGAGGGTAAACAGCTTCATGGCAGCACAAGAGAGAATGATAGTGAACAGGTGCCCAGCTCTGCCAGAAATCACATCTCCCCGGAGAGCTGCCATGGGCTTCCTGTGATCCAGACCCTTCCATCCTTTCCTGGGCCTACATCCTGGACCCTTTCTCATCAGGATGCCAGCTTCTCTCCCTCCCTCCCTTCCTTCCTTCCTCCCTTGCTCTCTCCAAGAATGGCGCCTATGAGGGTACACATGCTCACCTGGGGGTATATTTTTGGCTAAAGGACTGAAAGCTATTTAGGAAGTTGAGACAGACTATGTGGAGAAACCAGATCATGAAGTCAGATGGACATTTCACGAGGGGGTCTGTTGTGTAGTGAGTGATTTTTACAGTCACAACCGAGGCAGGTCAGTGACCACCAGCCCCACAGCCTCCCAACCGCTCCCTCTGCCTCTTGTCTCTCAGTTCAAACTTCCTTTCCACCAGCCCACCCCTGGGGGCAGAGAAAGAGCTCCCCATGATGGTCTTAGCTGTCCTCCACCACCTACCCCTAAACTCCTTGAGCACATGTAATTTTATTTCACACAATTCGTTAAAAATGAAGCAAGAAAGAGGGGAGGCTGATCAGGGAAGTCCTCTTTGAGGAGGTTATGTCTCTGTAAAGACCAAGTGGTGCGAATAAAGATGTGAGGGGTGCAGCCTCCAGGAAGAGGAGACAGACATGAGAGCGGACTACAGTGGGAGGGGCAGGTGGGACCATGCTTGGCAAAGCAGGCAGACTGCCAACACAGGCCCTCCAGGCTTTGGTTTTGCTCAAGGATTTTATTTCAGTTTTGATGAATGCATTTGGAGAGTTTATAAAATGTACTGTTTTAGTCATTTTTTAAGTATATAGTTCAATGGTATTAAGTGCATTCACATTGTTGGGCAACCATCACAACATCCATCTCCAGAACCGTCTCATCTTGCAAAACTATAACTGTACTCATTGCACACTGAGTCCCCCTCCCCCTCCCCCAGCCTGTGGCAACCACCATTCTGCTGTCTCTATGAATCTGACTACTCTAGCCAGGTTCCTCACACTCTAAGTCCATAAGTAGGTCCTAGAGTATCTGTCCATTTGTGACTGGCTTATTCCACTTAGCCATAATGTCCTCAAGATTCATCCATGTTGTAAGCAGAATATCCTCCCTTTTTAAGGCTGAATGATATTCCATTGTATGTATATACCACCTTTTGTTTGTTTACTCATCCACTGATGGGCACTTGAATTGACTCCATCTCTTGGCTATTATGAATAATGCTGGAATCAACATGGGTGTGCAAATGTCTCTTCAAGATACTGCTTCCAGTTCTTTGGGGTGTATACCCAGAAGTGGCATTGCTGGATCATAAGGTAATTCTATATTTAATTTTTTGAGGAAACTCCATGCTGTTTTCCATAGCAGCAACACCATTTAATATTCTTACCAACAATGCACAAGTTTCTCAATTTTTCCACATACTCACCAACATTTATGATTTCCCTTTTTTTTTTTAATAGTAACCACCCTAATGGGTGTGTTTTGGGGGTTCTGAGCAGGGAGGGTGGCATGACCTGTTTGTGTTTTTAAAGGATCCCCCTGGCTGTTATGTGGGAAATGAAGTTTAAATTACCAGCGTAATTTTGAGGATGAAGAGGCTTCTGTGAGTAAGTATTCAGGGCCAGGGTACAAAGTATCATTGTCATAGTCAAACCAGACAGGAGTTTACCCACCTCTGTTTGGGAGGCAAGAGTAAAGCAACTCTGGATGCGAAGAGGAGCCAGAGGTGAGGGTGCATCTCATCCATCTGAAACAGAGAGGTATGAGGGCCCAGATTAATTATACTGGCAAAAAAGAAGAGGCAAACAGGGTGGGGAGGTGGGAAGCCACTCCCACTCCCACATGAGGAGGAGAAGTTGATGTCACTGAGTTCAGGGCTCCAGCAGGCCCATTCTCAGGATGCAAGAGGATGAGGGAGATTTGGCTACCGCCACTGACCCCAACTGTGCCCAAGACTTGTCACTGCTATCTCTACCCCATCTTCCACTGGCTGAGCCCATGTGGGAGATGAGCCTGGAGCCCCCAAGCAGCCGGCAGGGCTCAGCCTCCCTCATTAGCAAGGAGAGTGGGATGGGACCATGGGGCTGAGCAGGAGCATGGGGTGGTTATGGGAGATAGAATCTAACAGGCCCAGGCTTGGCTGCAGGGTCTGGGGGAGGGAGCAGAATGAAGAAAGAGGTCAGCATTTTTAGAGAGTTGTCCTTTCCTGAGGTGGGGAGATGGGAAGGAAGCAGGGGGATGGTTGGTTGCAGGGGTTAACCCATTTAGCTGCACATTTGTTTTGTTTGTTTTTTTGTTTTTTGTTTGTTTTTGGTGTAACTCTTAATAATAAAATGGTTTAAGAAAAAGAAGGAAGAAAGAAAACTCTGGATACTTAAGGGGTCAAACGTTATATTTTTCTCCATGCTCCTTAGTGGATAAAAGAGAAATAAAAATCACTCCACTGAAGTTCCCCCTTCTTGGGAAAGGAGGGGCCTTGCCACTTTGACTCCCCTCTTTGTCTGGGACCTGGAGATAGGGGGGAGAGAGAAGACAGGAGCTTCGATACCCTGAGCTGAGGCAGACACAAAAAAGGCAAAAGGAGGCAAAAGAGAAGCCAGAAGCATTAGATTCAGCTAGATTTGGGGAAGAGGGAGACACTGGAGACCTGGCTGCAGGACCCAGTGGGATAAGGTGAGCGGGCTGGGTCAGCCAGGACTGGGGAAGCCACCATATGGAACCGCTCTGGTGGAGGTGGTCTGCTGTGGGCACTGCTGGTGGGCAGGGAACTGGCTGGTCCAGAGGGTCCTTGTATGAGGAAGATTTGTTTGTTTGTTTGTTTGTTTGTTTGTTTGTTTGTTTTTAGAAAATAGCTTCCTTGGCTCTGTATTTGAAGTAGAATTTATCACGAAGTCCTCACGTAAAGGGCATTGCATCATACACAGGACGTCCATCTAAATAAAGAGGTAAACTGAGGCAAGCTCAAAATTGTCAAAAAGATGAGTTTATTCAGAAATAGCAAAGGAATTGCAGTTTGGGACACACATGCTGTAGCGAGCCACAGGCGAGTCTAATGAAGGCTTAAGGTGGGCTCTGTTTGTTAGCACAAAATGTAAGGAGGGGTCTGTTAAAATAAAAAAACTGGAGATAAGCTTTGAAAACTCTCCAAGCAGACAAAACCATTGCAGACATACAAACAAAGCTCAATTCAGCTTATTTTGTGAGACCAGCCTGACCTGAGATGTTTCTGGGAAACATGCCTCTGAGAACCATAAGTAAAACTTCCCGAAGTTGATATGAGGCAATGCCTGACCAGTTCCTTATCATTTAAGAAAGTTCCAGTGTTATCAGTTTTCTGTATATCAGGCATTTTATGGGGACTATTGGTCTCTTAGTCCTTAAGTTTTGTTTTCCTGAGGGCATGTGCATAAACTTTTTCATTTTATATCCTCCGGTTCCATTTTAGATCAAAATTCTTTTACAAGGCAATCCCTTCCTCCCTCAGCAGTCCCGCAGAGGAACGTAAGGGTATTTAGTTTTACACTGTTTATTGTTTTCTCGTCTCCTCAACTAATAATTCATATTTCTGTAGTACATAGCCCACTGCTCAGTTCACCACTGACCTGCTGATGACTTGATTATTTATTTATTTATTTATTTATTTATTTGTTTGTTTGTTTATATCGAAGTACAGTTGACACAGAATGTTGCATTATTAGTTTCAGGTCTACAACATAGTGGACTGACAATTCTATGTATGATGCAATGCTCACCACAGTAAATGTCATCATCTGTCCCCATACAAGGTTATCACGGTATCGATTATATTCCCTACACTCTACTTTTCATTCCCATGACTTATTTATTTTATAACTGGAAGTTTGTACCTGGAAGTAATTCCCTTCACTTATTTTGCCCATCCCTACACCTTCTTATTTTTTTAAGTTTATTTATTTTGTGAGAGAGAGAGAGAAAGAGCACGAGCAGGGGAGGGGCAGAGACAGAGGGAGAGAGAGAATCCCAACCTCACAGCACAGAGCCCAACACGGGGCTCCATCTCACAAACTGTGAGATCATGACCTGAGCCAAAATCAAGAGTCTGATGCTTAACTGACTGAGCCACCCAGGTGCCCCTTCCACCCACCTTTTTAAACTTTTTACTTAGGATAATGACATTGCACTTGAGAAGATTGAAGCTCCCAAGATATGCTTCGTTTGGGGAGCAGGTACTCCCTGTATGGGAAGCTATTTTCTAATCCCCTGAAAGCAATCTATTTATACCCTGAAATCTGAGTTTTTAAGGAAATGTATCATTATTATAGCTTGCATAACTCCAGCTATGTCAAAGAACTATTTCTACTGCCCTAGAATCATTGCAGCTGTGTTCTGAGAGCTCCGTGAGAGGTAGAGTCGGGTACACTGTATTCTCTCCTCATTGCTGTGCACTGGCTTCCCTGTAATTCTGCAAGTGACCTCTTTGTTCTAGGATGGTGCACCTGGATAACAATGGGGAGTGATTACTGCTTGCTTTACCATCAAAAGATTGGGAATACTGCTTTTAAGCCTTGAACTCATTTCCTCTCCTGGCTTTAACTGAGGGCAAGTCAACAACGACCTGGACAGAGAAGGATGGAGCCAGGACAAAGGTGTCCATGCCGGCCATGTTGCTGTCTGCCCTGCCAGTCCTGGGAGGCCCTGTGCTCACAATGAAGACAATGTAGAGACTGGTCAGTCCCAGCCTCTAGGAGTAGAGGGTTCTGAGCAGGTAGAAATTCAGGACAAGTTAAATTTGCCCAATGGGAGGAGTAGGGCATCTGTCAGAGGAAGAAGTTAGGACAGAGAGAATGCTGAGGGCTGAGGCAACCTGGGAAAGAGGGGCTGGTGGGAAGGCCTTGGGAAGCAGGAGCAGAGGGTAGGGGAGTGGGGAGACAGAAGCTGGAAGGTAAGGTGGGTGCGGGCAAGGTTGTGGAGAGCCCCATGCAGGGCTGAGTTTGGACCTGGCCCCCAGTGGTCACCAGAGACTTTTCTGGATTTCACACACCATTTATTTTTCTTAAAGCATGGAAGATGGGAAGGAATGAAAGCAGGTTACCAACTTTATTTTGTCATGGAAGGACACACACATACACACACACACACACACACAATTCCTTCCCATCAATTATTCTAGTGCTTTCATAAATGAAAAGATACTATAACACCCTTAAGAAAAAAAATAGAAAGAACAAAGTGTCAAAATAAATACTCCTGAGAAGTGACAGCCAGCAAACTTATATCACAGGTTTGCCAAAGACTGGGAATATCATTGCAGGCTGGCAGGGTACACAGGCCTGCCCTGTCACCCCCAGTGGAAAGCCGTGGGGATTGTCTGGGAAGGGGGACTCAGCATGAGGTCTCAGGCAGGCCGGGAGCTGGACTGGGCTGAGCACTGGGTATCAGGGAGACAGCTAGCAGGCCACTGTCAGAAGCCTTTGTCATAAAATGTCCTCTGAGCCCATTTTCTATCCATAGCTACCAGTCACCCTGTCTCACCTGGACCATGAATGGCCTCCCCACTGCTCTCCCTGCTTCCACTTTCATAATCTACTCTCCACATGGCAGCCAGAGTTATCTTTGAAAAAGTGACCTGATCATGTTTCTCACCTGCTACCATCCTTTAATAGTCTGCTAGCAGGCCTAGCATGGAGTCAAGTCTCCCTTGAGCAGTCTTTCTATGGCTCTGACCCACCGGCCCTCCTGGTTTGCAGGGGTGCAGCCACAGTGGACCTTGTTCAATCCTTCCTCCTCTGTCTGGAACACGTTCTTCCTGCCCTTCACCTCCTTAACTCCATCAGGTCTCTGCTGAAAGAGAACATCCACAGGGGGTTTTTCCAACTGGGCTCCTGCTGTCTCCCATGTCACCTGTGTTGTTCTGTCTTCATAGCAGGTGTGTGCATAGTGTGTGTGTTGACTGCTCCTGCATTTGGAGATTTGCTAGAAGAACCCACGGGACCCACCATGTAGTTGTGCCCATGGGTAAGATTTGTAACAGTGACATAGTAAGGATACACACCTAGATCATCAGGGAAAAGACGCAAGTGGAATCTGGAAGAATCTGTGTGTAGGCTTCCTCATGCTCTCTCTCTCCAGTGAGGGTCATGCAGAACACTTCCTCTCCTAACAGCAAAAATGCAGCAATATGTGTGTAATGTTTCTGCCCAGGGAAGCCCGTTACAGACTCAGCACCTAGGATTTGTACTGGGGGCTAACTACATGCACACCCTCTGCCTAGCACATACCAAAATTCCAGACCTCTTGGAGGAAAGCAGGTGCATAAACCGCATCATGTGCACAAACACAGGAAGCACAGGGAGCCACCTTTAGCAGTTAACTATTGATCAGGGACACTTTGGAAGCCAGTTCTCAAAGGTCAGCCAAGGCCCAACACTGCAAGCTGGCTTTCTATGCAAAGGAGCCTCAGGCCTGCTTGGTTAACCCCTTTTCCACACAAGTTGTAGGTAAAACTTTATCTTTGTGTCTTTTTCAATGGGGACAAGACCCTGTCTACCATGTCCCCCACTATACCCAGCACTTGGCGTATCGTAGGCTCTCGGCTGAGTGTTTAAGAGCATAGAAGTGTCTGTTGGGAGCACTGGTCTACTGCTTCTTAGCTGTGACTTGGACAAGGTCCTTCACTTCTCATGGCCTCAGTTTTCTCATCTATAATAAGGGGGCTAGAACAGTCCTTCCTCACAGAGTGGTTGCAGCAGTGCTATTCTGTGTTCAATGAATGTAACTTGAGGTACAAACCTGGATTTGCAACCAAGTGTGGACACCAGAGATATCTATTCGAGAGACTTGAAAAATAAATGTGATTAGCCTTGGAGGCCCAGGAAGACAGAGACTTGCAGTTGTAAGTCTAATTGGAAGAAAAGATGTAACAGAATGAGGTTGCTGTGTTTGGTGTATGGACTAGTGATAGATCTTCCTCAATAGCCGTGTTCCTAACCCTCTGTCACCCTGTCATCAATAGATCATGTAGTTTCTCAGTCTCCACGTCTTCTTGAGGAGGAGCCTGGATCCAGTAAGTGGGTCCTGATGAGGAATGCTCTGCCCTTCAGGTGTGCTCTAGAGACGCTGATCTTTGCTTGCCCTTTCCACTCTCTCCTTCTGGGGGCATCTGCCCTGCCCCACTGTAGCTGCTTGGGTGGCTCTGTTCTGCTCCACAGGGCCCTGCCTCGGCCTCACTGACTGGACTGGACCAGTTGCCACAAGGGCGATTAGCACTGGCTGGCCAGGGGCTTCTGACCTGTGAGCTTGGCTTGAGAGGATGAGATAAGCCAGACCTAGAAGACTCTTTTCACAGGAATTTGGAATCAGTTCCTGAGATACATGGCTGGCTAGCAATGGGGCTCCAATGATTTTGGGCAAGGGCAGGCTGGATCACTTGTGAAAGTGATGAAGGAGCAGAATTGCTAATGTACGGGGTGAGGACTGGATAGAAATGGAAAGGCCGTGAGAAAGACATCCCTTAGCACTGCCTTGGGCCTGGGGAGCTTTCTTGTTCCAGATCCAGGGCACATGCATCTGATAATTTGAGGCAATTTAACCAAGAGTTTGGGCTCCACACTTGGATCTGCATATAGACACTGCCTCGTGCAAGCTGTATGACTAGTCCCTTAACCTCTCTGAACTTCCATCTCCCTAGTTATGTGATAAGGAGAGTAATATTGTCAACTGCATAGTGTCAATGTGAAGCCTACGTGATATCATACAGGGCTTTGCACAGTTTCTGGCATATGGTAAGCACCTAAAAATGTTAGATAGTATTATGATATTTTCATAACTCCGCTATTTCTCAAGGTCCTTCTGATGGCTCTCTGTTTCTGACCATCACAAATAAAAACATGTTATAATAAACGATCTTTTCCTCTTTGGAGGGATTCTTATAGAGAAATCATAGTTCCTAATGCTTTGTCTTCCAGTGTCCTGCAATCTAATCTGGAAAGAAAGAACATAGTTATTTTGCAGTATTTTTTTTTTTTTTCTGACAGCTGATTGCCTTTTTCAAAGCATTCAGAACTCCACCTCTGGGTTTAACTACAGGTAGAATGCTTCTGTTAATTCCCATAGGGCCCCATCAGTGAATTTACAATTCTCTGGAAGTAGGACTTTAATAAAAGATGACAATGTCTTTTTTATTTTGACCCCAACACTATCTTTTTGACCAATGGAAGTTTATTAATTCTCATGATGCTACTTAATATATGTGACAAGTGTCCATGATTGATTTGGCATTTATAAAATGTTAAAGAAATGAAGCCATTCAATAGGAAAAACACAAACCATAGTCTTCTAGAGCCATCGGGCCTGCAGAAATTCATACTCACCCCCTTAATCACAGATACCAAGTCTCCTTCATCCATTTGTCTAAGCATCTCCCTGCCTCTAAGATGAGCCTTTCCATTAAAGCAGTGATGAAAATGACATTTCTTTCCATCACAGAATTTAAACTTCTTTTAATGATAGAAATTTTAAATGTAACCAATGAAATATGACTCAGGGGATTTGGAGAAGTGCCTTCTCTCTCAGCTCATTATATTCTTATTACAGCTTCCACTCTCAAATCTTTTTATCAGAGGAATGATGCACCACTCTTTGGGTAACAGAATTGAACACCGCCTTTTGACAGCCAGGATCACAGTATTTTAGATTATACATGGATGCCTGTATTTTTTTTTAATTATTTATATATGAAATTTATTGTCAAATTGGTTTCCATACAACACCCAGTGCTCATCCCAAAAGGTGCCCTCCTCAATACCCATCACCCACCCTCTCCTCCCTCCCACCCCCCATCAACCCTCAGTTTGCTCTCAGTTCTCAACAGTCTCTTATGCTTTGGCTCTCTCCCACTCTAACCTCTTTTTTTTTTTTTTTTCCTTCCCCTCCCCCATGGGTTCCTGTTAAGTTTCTCAGGATCCACATAAGAGTGAAACCATATGGTATCTGTCCCTCTCTGTATGGCTTATTTCACTTAGCATCACACTCTCCAGTTCCATCCACGTTGCTACAAAAGGCCATATTTCATTTTTTCTCATTGCCACGTAGTATTCCATAGTGTATATAAACCACAATTTCTTTATCCATTCATCAGTTGATAGACATTTAGGCTCTTTCCATACTTTGGCTATTGTTGAGAGTGCTGCTATGAACATTGGGGTACAAGTGCCCCTATGCATCAGTACTCCTGTGTCCCTTGGATAAATTCCTAGCAGTGCTATTGCTGGGTCATAGGGTAGGTCTATTTTTAATTTTCTGAGGAACCTCCACACTGCTTTCCAGAGCGGCTGCACCAATTTGCATTCCCACCAACAGTGCAAGAGGGTTCCCGTTTCTCCACATCCTCTCCAGCATCTATAGTCTCCTGATTTGTTCATTTTGGCCACTCTGACTGGCGTGAGGTGATACCTGAGTGTGGTTTTGATTTGTATTTCCCTGATAAGGAGCGACGCTGAACATCTTTTCATGTGCCTGTTGGCCATCCGGATGTCTTCTTTAGAGAAGTGTCTATTCATGGTTTCTGCCCATTTATTCACTGGGTTATTTGCTTTTCGGGTGTGGAGTTTGGTGAGCTCTTTATAGATTTTGGATACTAGCCCTTTGTCCGATATGTCATTTGCAAATATCTTTTCCCATTCCGTTGGTTGCCTTTTAGTGTTGTTGGTTGTTTCCTTTGCTGTGCAGAAGCTTTTTATCTTCATAAGGTCCCAGTAATTCACTTTTGCTTTTAATTCCCTTGCCTTTGGGGATGTGTCGAGTAAGAGATTGCTACGGCTGAGGTCAGAGAGGTCTTTTCCTGCTTTCTCCTCTAAGGTTTTGATGGTTTCCTGTCTCACATTCAGGTCCTTGATCCATTTTGAGTTTATTTTTGTGAATGGTGTGAGAAAGTGGTCTAGTTTCAACCTTCTGCATGTTGCTGTCCAGTTCTCCCAGCACCATTTGTTAAAGAGACTGTCTTTTTTCCATTGGATGTTCTTTCCTGCTTTGTCAAAGATGAGTTGGCCATACGTTTGTGGGTCTAGTTCTGGGGTTTCTATTCTATTCCATTGGTCTATGTGTCTGTTTTTGTGCCATGGATGCCTGTATTAAAAGAATGAATTTTTTTCTCATGCTGCCTTCTCATTAAGACCGACCAGCCACTTTCTCTCTCCTGGGCTATTACATCTGGCTTCTAGCAAGACTTTCTTAATCCTGTCTCTTCCCTCCTCCTCCACCCTTCCACTTTATCAGCTACTCTGAAGCCCAGATGAGCTTTCAAAAACCAGATCTGATGCTCTTGTTAAGAACTAGTGCTGACTGCTCTGAAACCAGGATAAAACTGAGCCTCCTCAGCACATCTCAGGACAACTCAGGGCTCCTCTCATATATATTACATTTTTATGTATTTTAAGCTCATCAACACAGTTTTGTAATTATTGTTTTATGGAGTTGTTTTTAAGTCAGGTAAGAGAAGAAAAAAGGTACAAAATACCTTATTATCTATTATATATTTACCTTGCAGTTACCCTTACCAGTGCTTTTTATTTCTTTGCACAGATTCAAATAACCAATTATTATCCTTTATTTAAGCCTAAAGAACTCCCTTTACTGTTTCTTATAAGGCAGGTCTGTCAACAGTGAATTTCTGTTTTTGCTTATGTTAGAATTTCTTAATTTCTTTTTTATTTTTAAAGGCTAGTTTTGCTAGATACAGATTTCTTGACTCACAGTTCTCCTCCTTCCTTCCCACTGCCAGTATTTTGAATATGTCATCTCACTGCTTTAGGCTTCCATGGGCTCCAATGAGAAGTTGAGTTTTA